ACCTCTGACCTTCAGTGACTGTAACACATTTCTCAAACAGACCACAAACTTCACACAGATTCCTGATTTTCATTCATACCATTCTCCAGCTCAGCAAACTATTCATCCTTCAAAACCAAATTCAAATATGGTACCTTTTCTACAACCCTCCCCCCTACCACAAGTAATTTTTTTTCATTATTCCCCATCAAACTCTATATCTGTGTTATCACACTGAAACTATAGTGGCTTTATTTATTTTAGTTGTTTTGGGACAGACTTCTCTACTCAGCCCAGACAAGCCAACAGTTTCCTAGCCTCCTGCATCGGTTACCCAAATACTGGGATTATAGGCATATTCCACCACATTCCATGTAGTTTCTTTTCTTTAGAATCTAACATTTGGGGAGCTGAAGAGATAGTTCAGTGGTTAAGAGCACTGACTGCTCTTGCAGAGAACCAGGGTTCAATTCTTAGCACCCACACAGCAGCTAACAACTGTCTGTAACTCCAGTTCCAGGGGATCTGACGTCTGCACCCTCTTCTGTCTTCCTCAGGCATTGCACAACATGGATGCACACACCTACATGCAGGCATTACATTCATACAATAAAACAAAAATAATAAAATATTAAAAACATAAAATCTAATATTTGCTAAGCATAATAGTGCATACCTTTAATCCCAGCACTTAGGAGGTAGAGGCAGGTAGATTTCTGTGAGATCAAGGCTAGCATGGTCTACAGAGCAAGTTCCAGGCTAGCTATGGCTACAGGAAGACTTTGTCTCAAAACAAAAAACAAACAAACAAAAATCTAATATTTAAGGGGCTCTCCTGGAGAGATGGCTCAGCAGTTAAGAGCACTGACTGCTCTTGTTGAGGATCTAGGTTGGGTTCCTAGTACCCACATAGCTAACAACCATCTGTAACTCCAGCCACAGGGAATCCAACGCTCTTCTGGCCTCCTTGGCACTGAATGCACGGGTGCACTGACATACAGGCAAAACACTCATACACATAAAAATAAAAACAAATACATAAAACTCAAACATTTAACCGGTGGTTTGAGAACAGATATTTTAAACTTCTTATGGAAAAATAAATACCTCTTATATTGCTAAGATGGTGCCATCATTGTAGTTACTAAGTGGCTGGGAGTTTAGAAACAAAAAGAATCCCATGTCATTCACTAGTTTAAAAAAAAAAGTTTTCATATACAAAGTATAATTAAATTGTAGCTTGGACATGCCTTCATCTATATCTTGCAAGACCAGTTTCTCTGTCTGTTGTCCCTCCTCTTCCTCCTCTTCTTCCTCCTACCCCTCCTTCTCTTCCTCCTCCTCATTCTCTCTGTCTCTCTCTCTGTCTCATCTGAAGTTCTTCATAAAAGCTGTTTCTTTTAAATATCTGTTGGATTTCACTGTCTTACAGAATTTGAAACTCAATATAGAGCAGAGGTTGAGGGTTGAGATCAGTATCACTGGAGCCTGATGGCCTGATTTGAATCTCATCTCTGTTCCTTGGGTTGCTTGGTCTCTGACAAGTTACTCAACTTCTCTAAGCACCTTAATGAGGAGAGGGAAATAAGAACATCCCTTGGTGGTGGCTAGCATGAGGATTAACTGAGCTAATACATGTAACAAATTCAGAATACTATGCCTGGCACTGGAATAAGTCCCCATGAACACTAGTTGATAATCTTACTGTTAATCAGCTTTTGAAACAGCTTTTCAGTACTTAGCCCACTTATAGGGGGAGCATATAATCTCCTGGGCAGAATTATATCATTCTCACATTTGACTGCAATGTAAGTGCTAAAACTATGCCTTGGGATACAATAGTTGCCCATTAAGCAATACAAATGTAAAGTTTTAGACCCATAAAATCAACATGTTGCAAATTTGCAATGCATTTATTATGGAGGACAAAAAGTTGTTTTTTAAAGCAGTTTTAGCCAGGAATAGTAGCAAACACCTCTAATCCCAGTATTCAGGAGATCTAAGAAGGAGAAGGTAAGTTTCAGTCCAGCCTGGGCTACATAACAAGTTAAAGGTTAGCCTTGGCTAGGTAGCAAGTCCCTGTCTCAAAAAAATATAGTAGTTTCAGGGTCTGGAGAGGTGGCTCAGTGAATTGCAGGACTGAGGTTCAGTTCCCAGCACCCACATGGTAGCTAACAACTGTCTGAAACTCCAAGTTCCAAGGGATCTGACCCCCTCCTCTGGCCTCCAAGGGTATTACATGCAGGAAATACACTCATGCACGTAAAATTTAAAAATTAAAAAAAATATATAGTAGTATATATGACCTGCAGCTATGTGGGTGCTGTGAATCAAACCCAGGTCCTCTGCAAGAGCAGTCAGTGTTCTTAACTACTGAGCCATCTCTCCAGTCCACACATAAACTTTTTTAAAGACTTATTTTTATTTATGTGGTATGTCTGTGTAAGTGTATGCTACATGTTTTCAGATGCCCTCAGAGGCCAGAAGAAAACTTGGGTCCTCAGGAAGAGCAGCATCTTTTAACTGCTGAGCCATCTTTCCAGGGCCACAAATAAAACTCTTAAAGCAGCACAAAATTATTATTTACTAGTGATTTTCCATATAGTCCTCCATTTGATTCAATCTTAGTATATAGGGTTCTAAAATTCTTGCCTATAACATAAGAATGACTTCAGATTATTTAAAAGTAATATATTTTCCAGTGTTAGAAAATGGTCTATTGTATGCTAGGATGTGGCTCAGTGTAGATTGCTTGCCTATTATGAAAAAGGCCCTCAGGACTAGAAAAAAGAAGATATAAAGAAAAAGAAAAGGGTCAACAGCTCAGCAGGTGAGGGTGCTTACCATCAAGCCTGACTACCTGAGTTTGATCCCTGGAACCCACAAAGGTTGTCCTCTGACTCCTACACATGAGCCATGATGTATGTGTACACCCATACAACAAATACTTTTTATTTATTGATTTATTGGGGGGGGGGCTTATGCCACAGGGCACGCTGGGAGGTCAGGAGCAAACTTGCAGGAGTTGGCTCTCTTCTTCTACCATATGGATCCCAGGAATCCAACTTGGGTCTACAGGCTTGGCAGCAAGTGCCCTTACTGCCTAAGCCAACTCTCTGGCCCCACAGTTTGAGAAATTTTTGTTCTGTTTACTTTGTGCCAGGCCTGGAACTCACTGTGTAGTCTAGGATGACCTGGAACTTCTGGTCCTCCTAATGCTGGAATTACAGTCACGCAATACCATGACTAGTTCATGCAGTTTGGGAATTGAACCCAGGGCTTCCTGCATAAGAGGCAAAGGCAAACACTCCACTAACTGAGCTACACCCACAGACCTAATTTAAAAAAAAAAAAAAAAAGCTTAAATAAGAAAAGAAGACAGGCTGGAGAGATGGCTCAGCAGTTAAGAACACTGGTTGTGGGGCTGGGACTTTAACTCAGTGGTAGAGGGCTTGCCCAGCAAGCACAAGGCCCTGGGTTCGGTCCTCAGCTCCCGGAGCAAAAAAAAAAAAACGAAGAACACTGGTTGTTCTTGCAGAAGACACGGGTTCAAATCCCAGCACCCATGTGGCAGCCAACAACTGTCCATAACTCCAGTTCCAGGGGATCTGACAGCCTCTTCTGACCTCTGAGGGCTTTGCACGACCCGGGTCCACTTACCTACATGCAGGCAATACACGCATACACATAAAATAAAAATAATAAAAACATTTTTTCAAAGTTTATTTAAAAAAAAAAGAAAACTGCCTACTGCCATCAACCAAAAATTTAATATTTTTTGTTTCTGCATCTAAAAAAATCGATTGCCACATTCAACACAGACTAAATAAAGGCTAAGAGGCACAATTACTACAGTTCCCAGTTTCTGCCTTTGAAATGACTCCCTAGTAGAAACCACGTGGTTTCAAACTGCCATTCTTTTTTTAACTTCCCATCTCCACACCCCCAAGCTCATCCACACATAGCCAAAGTAAAGAAGGTAAATGTCTTATAATAAAGACTATGAAAAACATACAGCCATATATTAACTTTGTTTTAGAGGACTTGGAACTTCCTATAAGAGGCTCTTCAACTTACAGAAACAAGTAAGTCTTACATTGAAGTAATACTCCCAGCTTACTTTACCAGATAGATAACTTAAACTACAACTGCTTATCTAAGGCAAAGTAGATTTTCTGATTGCTACCAAACTTCATGGTAAATGATTCCACACAGATAATTTGTGTTATTTTAGTAAACTTCGTGAATCAGTTAAAAATAGACCTCTCTTCAAACAATGGTAATTGTGGGGGAAAGGAGCTTAAGCAACTTATTTACATAGTAAACAGAAATTTAGCGCTTTATCTAAGACGCAATAGGTGAATCACTAGCTTTAGGGTAAACGTTTACAGAACGCCTTGGTAGTTGTTTTACAGAATATACCTGCTTCAGGTGTATGTATAGTCAAATAATGCCTGACATTTGCAGAACGCTGTCACTCCTCTTTGACCGTGAGAACACCCATGGGCGTCCCAGTTTTGCACTTAGGGCAACAGGCTCGGAAGATTTAACCTGCCAGAGGTATGATCATGGTTGGTATGTGGTTCCAGAGCGGAGCCTTTTGACTCATAATCTAATCATCCTCTGCCATCCTGGTTGCTCCAGTGCGCTAATTACCCCAATCCCACCATGAGATTCTTAAGAGCCTACTTGGCGACTTTCACTACTGTTCAGGTAGAAAGCGAAGCGCACACTCACTCACACATAGACACGGTTTTAAAAGCACCGCTTTGGCACGTCGAGGTTCAAGAGCACCGCGAGGCGCGTTTCCTCTCCGCGACAGGGCGCGCCCTCAGCTCACCGGACCGCGAACGCCTCGCTGCCCCCGGCCTAAACCCGCGGAGGGCGACCAGCAGCCCCAGCCCGGCCCGGTGCCCCCCGTGCGCGGGGCCCGCGGCGAGCAGGCCGACACCCACCTCCCCAACCATAGAGCGGCCGCGGACGGGCGGCCTCACAGGGCATTTGCACCGCCCGTCGCTTACCTGCCTGGGCCGCGACGCTGCCTCGAATGGGCCTCGGATGGGCCTGCGAGATCGGCGTCCACCGCCGACGCACCAGTCCCTGGGGTCGCACTCTGGTCTCTCCGTCCCGCCCCCGCAGACCACGCCTCTCCTCGCTTGGCCCCGCCCCCTAAGAGCGCTCAGGCCCCACCCCACAGCGCGACACCGCCTCACCTCACTTGCCCGGTCCCCAAGAGCGCTCGGCCCTCCCTCCCAGCAGGACTCCGCCTGTCCTCGCCTGGCCCCTCCCCAGAAGAGAGCTCAGGCCCCACCCTCCCAGCACGACCCCGCCCTCCGGGCCCGCCCTGCTCCCTCAGGTCCTGCCCCTCCTTGACAGGCCCCGCCCTTCCATGAATACTCGATTTCTTTTTTGGGGGGGGGCTCTTTTTGAGACAGGGTCTCCCTGTAGCCCCAGCTGTCCTGGAACTCACTATGTAGACCAGGCTGGCCTTGAACTCACAGAGATCCACCTGCCTCTGCCTCCTGAGTGCTGGGATTAAAGGCGTGCGCCACCACGCCCGGAGAAGACTCGATTTCTATTGGTTCCACTCTCTACCACTCACGCTCGGCCCTCCCATGGCACCGCTCGGAGCCCGCCTTAGGGGCGTCTCTCTGCCCTCGGCTTCTCTCCGCGTGGGGCTCTCGTACAGGCAGGCCGGAAGCCTGCGGAGGACCCCGGGTTGCTCCACGCCGCGATCCCAGCGCACTGGCTGGCAACTGACCACTGTGTTCCGGTCGAAGCCTGGAGCCAAAGCTTCCTCACCCTCGCTGGGTCTGCGGTCTAAACCGCTCCACGCGGCAGAACTGAACTACGGGAGGCCGGACTCTTCGCCACCACCTGCCTAGTAGCTTAATCAAGGAGTCCAAGTGGCACGTTCTTTAAGGAAACTATAGACTCGGCGTCTGCCACGGTGCCTGCAGGCCTGTGTCTCTATTCCGACTGCAGTACCGCTTTCTGGGGGAGCTCAAGGAGAAAACATTGTCTAGGAATGGCATTTCGGTGCCAGCTTGAAATGTAGAGAGATGCAGATAGCGCGCCTGGCCCCGAGTTTGGAATCCCCGAGCCTTTGATACTCACTCGATACCCCGCGGTCGGCCGCCACGCCCAGTTGAGACACACAGGCTTAAGCGCTCCGCCCGCATCACACTTTTGCTCACTTATTATGGCTCTGTGCCTGCAGCGAGCGCAGCCCAGTTTCACTCCGGCTGCCAGACGAGGGTGAGCGAGCCTGTTTCCCAGGCACTCTCCATCAGCCCCACCTCACCTCGCCCTGCCCTACTCCACCCCACCCACCCCATCGGAACTTGCTTTGGGTGACCAAACTTCCCACATTTGTTCACATAGAAGTACCAAAGTAGAAGACTGCCACAAAGAGAAGTGTTTGATTATACATCACAGATGATCGTCACTAGCCAACTTAAAAAGAGGCCGCATATCCCAAACCCATGTGAAACCATGAGGTAGAGACAATCAAAGATTATTTTCTATGGTGAGGGAGAAATAATGACACTTTTAAAATCATATCCTAAGACTGGAGAGGTGGCCCAGGGGTTAAGAGCACTTGCTGTTCTTGAATCCCACCATCCACATGGCGGCTCTGTTGCCCTCTTCTGGCCCTCGCAGGCACCACACACGTCAGTATACATAAGAGCAATCAAAACACTTGTACAAATAAAAAATAAGTAAATCATTTTAAAAATATTTTATGTATTATTTTTATTTTATGTATATGAGTGTATTGCCTGCATGTGTATGAGTGTACCCGGGTCGTGCAATGCTCTCAGATGTCATAAGAGAGTGCCCGACCCTCTGGAACTGGAGTTACAGGTTGTTAGCCCATATGGGTGCTGGGATTTGAACTCTGAAAGAGCAGTCAGTGCTCTTAACCGCTGAGCTATCTCTTCAGTCCCCAAAAATAAATCATTTAAAAAATAAAATTATATCTCAGTTGAGGAAATAAATGTGAAGTGTTTGAAACAATTTTATTTATTTTTATTGTGTGTGTGTGTGTGTATGAGTGTATTGCTTGCATATATAAGTGCACCCAAGTCCAAGGACGTCAGAAGACAGTGTCGGATTCCCCTGGAACTGGAGGTACTGACTGTTGTTAGCTGCCATGTGGCATTGGGAATGGAACCTGGGTCCCCTGCAAGAGCAGCCAGTGCTCTTAACCATTGAGCCATCTCTTCAGCCCCGTGTCTATAATAATTTTACATTTATTTTCATTTTGTATGTGTGTGTTTTGCCTGCATGGATATAAGTGGACCACTTGTGTGCAGTGCTGGTGGAGGCAGAAGATGGCATCCAATCCCCTGGAACGAAAGTTGCTGATGGTTGTTACCCATTATGTGGGTACTGGAACTGAAGCTGGGTCTTCTGGAAGAGCAGCCAGTGCTCTTAACCCATGAGCCATCTCTCCAGCCCTGTTTGTAATAAATTTTAAACACTGATCTCTGTGAACTCCCTTGCTCCCTTCCCTAATGTATATGTGTCTTTATGTTCATGTGTGTGTTGTTTGCTTATTGTTTTTCAGTCTTACTATGTAACCCAGGCTAGCATGCCTCAAACTTCACATCCTCTTGCCCTAGCCTCCTGAGCACAGATAGACATGAGCCACCACACCAGGCATCTAATCTATTTAGAAAGTGTCCCAGATAGTTGTCCAAGGTAAAATTTGGGAAAAAATAGAGTCGTTTTGAAATTTATTTTTTGAACTTTGCATTCAGGAAAATTCTTTAGCAGAATGAAGGTGGTTGAATGCCAAGTACCACATATGTAACCAAATCTGTATGGGTTGGATGGACAGAATAAACTCATTCACATGTGTCTATTCTAGTACTCTTTCTTTTTTAAATCGGTTTTATTTAAGAATTTCCAACAATGACAACTCATAAACAGTATCCAAGCACAAGATTCAAAATTGCAGCAAACAACAACAACAACAACAAAATCACTTTTTCCAAGTGGGTCAGTGCAAAACATGCATTCACTATCCAGTGATGTCCAATTCCCAATGCAATAATGGTCAATGGAATAAAAAGGGAAGCCCAACTTTACTGTCCTTTCATAGGAAAGATGGAGATATACTTAATAGTATTTTGTGTCCCTTTAAGTCTGAGAATAATGTTTAGTAATTTGTATTATTTTGGTGACTAGAAGGCCAACATAAAATAAAATTAATTTTCTAAGGAACTTACCAATAAATATTCATCAAACAGAATTTTAATTTCAGAAACTGAGAAAAGGAGTCTTTATACCATGGCTAGTTCAAACATGCCTTAAGGGACACACCTATGCTTACGGCCGCCTGTGCAGAATGTGGAAACATGAAGGAATTGGTTCTTAATTTTTATCATTTGAGACATTAAATTCAGGGATATTTCAAGGTATTATCTTTTTCACACATTTTATAACCTCAATGGTGAGCAACTTGAAATCAGAAACAAAATCTTGTTCTTTATACCTTTGGTGTTTAGAATGGTACCTGATACTTTATGTTTGATCCAAAGTTCCTTGTTAATAAAATATCAGCCCAGCCACTAGATGGCAACACAGTTGTGTGTGAACAAATAGAATCTGGCTAACCAGAGCGTCTCCTGACCTTGAGTAATAAGTTAGATATGTCTCCTACTTTGGTGAAGTAAGAATCCCCTCCTAGGATAAATTCTCCTTGAATACTGCTCATAAATGCTGATTTTCTAAACTGACATATAACTGGCTTGATTTTGTCCAAGAAAACTATTATATGTTGTCAAAGAACTTTTCAATGGTTCCAGTTGCCATAATGGTGTTTTAATTCTGTAATCCAAAACACCACATTCACTCACCAGTGTCTGTTTATGTATTTGTCTACTTTTGATAACTATTCTGCCTAAAAGACATAGACAATGGAATAAAAAAAACTATGTCCCCACTGCTTCCCCTTGAAAAGAATATTCTTTTTTTTTCCAGATATTTAAAACTTTGTTTATGACAGAAGTAGTGGCACACACCTTTAATCCCAGCACTCGGGAGGCAGAGGCAGGCAGATCTCTGTGAGTTCAAGGCCAGCCTGGTCTACATAGTGAGTTCCAGGCCAGCTGGGGCTACAGGAAGACCCTGTGTACAAAAGAAATAATAATAATAATAATAATAATAATGATAGAGTACATTAAATTGGGCAAGGGGCAATAAGGGGAAGTACAGATAGGGGAGGGGATCTAAATACCATCAAATTATGTTATATAAAAATCACAAAAATTCAGTAAAAAGAAAAAGAAATAAATACCTCTCTCCCAAGAATCTAAACTTTCTTTGAGAGAATGACTTTGGGACGTAACCTCTGATGTTGAATTGATCCATATGAGATTGAGCTTTCATTGAGAATGCCCATATATGAAAATACTGGGGCTGGAGAAATGGCTCAGTGGTTAAGACCACTGTTGAACCTGGGTTCAACTCCCAGCACCCACATAGTAGCTAACAACCATCCATAACTCCAGTTCCAGGGGAATCCAACACCTTCTTTGACCTCTCTGGGCATTGCATGACATGGGTGCACTTAACACATGTAGGCAATATATTCATACACTAAAATAAAAATAATAACAACCAGGCATGGTGGCGCACACCTTTAATCCCAGCACTTGGGAGGCAGAGGCTGGTGGATCTCTGTGAGTTCAAGGCCAGCTTGGTCTAAAAAGTGAGTTCCAGGCCAGCTAGGGCTACAGGGAGACCCTATCTCAAAAAAAACCAAAAAAAAAAAAAAGGAATAAAAATAGAAAGAATAAAGTATTTTAGAAAATACTTCCTGATGTCACCCATGAGCAGTAAGAGGGCAAATGAACTCAAAGAAGTCAGACAGGACTCTGCTCACAGAGCATCTAGTCCCTAGATATAACTCATAGACCTAAAGATGTAGCTCATCCATGTAAGGTGTTCTAATTTTGACCCAGAGCTAGAACTCAGAAGACTCTACAGATAAATCATTATGAGCATGAATCAACACACAAAGCTCAAAGAGTCCACTCAGCATGGTGGAAAGCTTTGTTCCTTCAGATCTCCATACACAAAGCTCAAGGAACCCTCTCTGCAACCCAGAATAAAACAGGAAACAGGTTAGCAAGGAGAATTTTTTTTTTTTTTTGTCTTTTTGAAGCAGGGTCTCCCTGTAGCCCCAGCTGTCCTGGAACTCACTATGTAGACCAGGCTGGCTTTGAACTCACAGAGATCTTCCTACCTCTGCCTCCCAAGTGCTGGGACTACAGGTGTGCGCCACCATGCCCAGCAGCAAGGAGAATTTTTTAAAATTTATTTTATGTGTATGAGTGTTTTACCTGATGTATGTTAAATGTACCACATACATGCAATGCCACAGAGACAGAAGAAGACATAAGATCTCCCGGAACTGGAGTTACTGACAGTTGTTAGGTGCCGTATGGGTGCTGGGAAGCAAACCCAGGTCCCCAGGAAGAGCAGTCAATGCTTTTTTTTTTTTTAATTTTATGTGTATGAGTGTATTGCCTGCATGTATGTGAGTGCACCCGTGTCGTGCAATGCCGTGGAGGTCAGAAGAGGGCTTCGGATTCCCCCGGAACTGGAGTTAAGGATGGTTCATAGTGCCATTCGGGTGCTGGGAATCGAACCCAGGTCCTCTGCAAGAGCAGTCAGTGCTCTTAACCGCTGAGCCATCTTTCCAGCCCCACAGCAGTGCTCTTAATCACTGAGCCATCTCTCCAGCCCCATGTAAGAAGAATTCTTGTATGCTTCATTAACCTTAGATTTGCTCATCTTTCACAAAATAGAGATATCAACTTGACAAAGGTATGAAAAGGACTGATTAAATGAAATATCAGTGAAACATTTAATACAATCCTTGACTTCTATTAATAATAGGGACGCAGTAAGAAGTCCTATTGTAATTCAAACTGTGCAATGAAAATCTTACTCATAATGTTATTTATTTACTTTATTCATTCTGTTGATTTCAGACCCTCAGCAATTAAATTAAGCTCATAACACCAGGTTTCATAACGGTAGGCCATACGAATCTGGGCTACATTTGTCCTCCGGATATCATTTCCAACAGGGCCTTCCTCAAGGTAATTGTTGCCCAGAAACTTTGCTTTCTCCTATAAGACAAAAGGAAGAGAATGTTTGTTGTCTCTTTTCACCCCGGTATAGACAGTAACTGCATCCTTCACAATAATTCCTCATGTTACTCATAGGTAAAAGGAAAAACAATGAACTATTTATTTAGTCCTCGAGGTGCGTGTTTTCCTGAGAAATCAGGTGTATACTATCTCCCAAGAAAGCTAGAACTTATTGAAAGAGTGAGGGCAAAGTCCTAGGGATTGAACTCAGAGCCTTACGTACACCAGGCAAGTGCTCTACACCAAGTTCTTTCCCTGGCCCTGGATTAGTCTTTTTCTAGTCCCTATCCATAGCAACTGCATATGGTTTGCAGGACAGCTCTTCTACAGGCATTTCCTCACTCAATTAAATTTTCAATATTCAAGTTTCTAGACCCAGTACTCAAAAGGACAGCCACTCAAGGTCAGGACTACCTCATGTGAAATTCCACACTGCAGAACACTGTTCCTTGCCACTTCACACATATCACAGGTGCTCAGCTTGAAAACTTGTGCAGCAATGGCATATTCTTCCATCAGGGGCTCCTATAGTTATTTGTTGCAATGAGGGGAGGTGGTGTATTACTACAAGAAACAACATGCATCTTACATAAAAAGAATAATGAAGCCAGGCGTGGTGGCACATGCCTTTAATCCCAGCACTTGGGAGGCAGAGGCAAGCGGATCCCTGTAAGTTCAAAGCCAGCCTGGTCTACATAGTGAGTTCCAGGCCAGCTGGGGCTACAGAGAGACCCTGTTCAAAAACGTAAAAAATGAAAAAAAAAGCATAATGAAGAAGTACCTTGATTGGGCTTTGAGTTTCTAGGTGAGTTTGAGGCCAGCCAAGCATACTTGTGCTGCTCAAGCTTGTACTTGCATACCTTGGTGAAGTGGAATTGCATTGGGTCATCTGTAGACAGGGAGATCATTAGGCCTTTCTGAAGGAAATCTAAGAAAGGATTTTTTGCGTATTCAAGAAACAGACTGTTGTTACTTAATGGCGACATGGCGATAGGAATCTGGGCTAAGAAAAACAGGTACTGTAACACAGGACTCTGAAAAGAAAGTAAAACATAATAATATTAAGGATGATGAAAAAAGACTAAAATCAGAGACCTTAAAATCCTATGGTCAATCTGAAGTTTTATCTTTCAGGAAGGTCTTCAAGTCTCCTTTAAAACAAATGTTCTGAAATTGTTTTCAGAAGTACTAAATCTTTTTTGTTTTTGAGGCAAGGTCTCACTATGTAGCTCCAACCATCCTAAAGCTGACTTTGTAGACCAGGCTGGCCTCAAACTCACAGAGATCCATCTGCTCTGCCTCCTAAGTTCTGGGACTAAAGATATGTAGCACCATGCCTGGCTCAAAAAAAATCCCTTTTTAAAAAATTGAGCATTAATTGACAAAGTTAGATGGTCTAATCTAGGCAATTAAAGCTCAAAAGACTTTTCCCTGAAACCTACTTTTTTGGCTACATGAAGGGTATGACTCTCACAAGAGACGTTTTAAAGCATGTTACAACAAGAAACCTGGCAGAAAGCAGCCAAAGGGAAGTCAAGCCACCTCTGACTTCACCTGTCAGAAGATCTCGGTTAACGCATTTCTAATGGCAACTAGTAAGGTAATCTTGAGACCCTTGTTTCTCTAAGTAGAATAAACAACATTGAATAATCCCAAAATGTCCTATGCACTACATGAATATACTGATAATGACTTGTAACAGGAGGGTGCAGGTAAAGACCCCTGAGGCTTGCAAGAAACAATCATCCTCCTTTCATAAGAGTGCTGGAGCTCAGAATACTAAAAGCAAAGCAGTTATTTATTTATTTATTTGTTTGTTTGTTTGTTTGTTTATTTATTTATTTTTCTTTGTATAGTTGCCATCAACCTAAAGAAAAGGCAAAAATGGCTGGCAAGCCAATGGTTTTTGTAGTCTGTGATCTTGAAAAAAATTCCTGTCCTCTTTTTCCTATAGGTTGGTACTCCAGAGAATTATAGTCTTTCCTACATGTCTGCCATAGTCCACACCTCAAATTCCCCATCCTCCTGGGGCTCAAAATTTTTCTCCCCCTTCCTGATAATGTCATCTCAGTCACATAGCACTGTCTGTAACTTTTCAATCCTAAAATAAACTAAAAAGCATCCAGGCAAGTAGGCACCAGCTGTTAATGAGGAAATTCAGGGGCCTGGTGCCTTCCACTGCTCTGATTCCTCTCTAAACATACCACATACTGAAAATGGACCATAATGAGTTATTTCTTACAGGCTCTAATATCAAATATTACTGATATTCAGAAAGGCCTCCAAGGCAGGTGTATTCACCTGTGATCCCTACACTCCGGAGGTAGAGGCTGGAGGAGTAGGAGTTCAAGGTCATCTTCAGCTATATAACAAGTTCAAGTCCAGCCTGAGCTACATGGGACCCTCTTTCAAAAAAGATTGAAAAGGTGTGGCGGGGGAGCTGGAGCGATGGCTCAGCGGTTAAGAACACTGTTCTTACAGAAGACCTGGGTTCGAATCCCAGCACCCACATGGCAGCTAACAACTGTCGGCAACTCCAGTTCCAGGGGATCCAACAGCCTCCTCTGTCCTCTGTGGGCATTGCACAACATGGGTGCAGTTACCTACATGCAGCCATAACACGCATAGACACAAAATAACAATAATAATTAATAAAATATTTTTTAAAAAGATCGAAAAGGAAATGAAAGGCATCCAACTCACCTTTTTCAAATTCAGACCATGAGAGATATTATCTGCTATCATGAAGGCTGTCATGAGGTGGGTGAGTGCACCTGCTTCCCCGCAGTGAGGTCGGAACAGAAACGTATTCATGCCACGTTCCCTGTGAAAACAAAATTGCTGTGGGAATCTCGGGTTCTGGGCAGTGATTTACAAGAAAATTCACACTCATGAAGGGAATGGCTATCCAAAGGATTCAGCAAAGCATAATTCCAAATCCTCATCATAACTCTTCCTGAATACAAACTCGCAAAGTGGCAGCCAAGGATAGAGAGGTAAGGAGGCAATCAGGGGAGAGGACCCGATGCGGACATCTTCAGTTTCAGCAGAAGACACAAGAATCAGTACTCATTGCAGGGGAAAATGTTCCGCCATGCCCAACCAAAACTGTAGAGTTAATGACAACATCAAAAATGTTTATTCCTGTCCCAAAATAAATTGAAGGAAAAGTTAAAGGAAAGAAATGTATGTGATTTGGGCCAACCAGAAGCATCCCAGGAATGCACTGAGCCCCTTGACCACCTAAAGTGCCAACACACGAGCAGAGAGCTGAATCACATCCACTCTCCTTGCTAGGCATGGTGGCACATACCTGTAATTCCAGAATTTTAAGGCTGAGGTTGGATTGTGAGTTCCAGGCCAGCCTGTTAGCTAAGCAGTAGTAGTGAGACCCTATCTCAAAAACACTTAAGGACTGGTGAATGAGGTGACTCGGTGAGTAAAGGCCATGCACGTCTGACAACCTGAGTTTTATCTTTGGGGCCCACATCAAAAAGCAGGATATAGGAGCTGGAAACATGACTCAGAAGTTAAGAGCACTTGCTGCTCTTGCAAAGGACCCACATGGTAGCTAACAACCATCTGTAACTCTAGTTCCAGGGAATCTGACACCCTCCTCTGACCTCTGTGGGCATTGCATGACACAGGCACACTTACAATACATGCAGGCAGTACACTCATACACATAAAACAATTTTTTAAAAAATTTAAAAAGCAGGATATACTGGCATGCATCTGTGATCCCAGAACTCCTATGTAGGAAATGGTAGACAGAAACAAGAGAATTTCCAGGAAGCTCACAAGACCACCTAGTACCCAGAATGCCAAAAACAAGAGAAAACCAAAACCTGAAAGTTGTCCTCTGACCTCCACATGTGTTCCACACACGTGTACCCACACATACCAATAACAACAAAATGCACTAAATGTTAAAAAAGACTGTCCTTTGACCCCCTTTCCCTTGTACTTACTTTCTCAGACTGTTGAGCAAAGTGATGTTTGCATACATGTAGTAGGCATAGTAAGTGTAAGATGGATTGTTTTCCATCGTCCACTCCTCAGGTTTGGGACTCTTGGAAGAAAACATGTGACCACTGTGTTTGGACTCATCATCCACACTGTCAAAACCAGTGATCTGTCAGGAAGAGTGAGCCAAGCAGTGCGTTCAGTCCATGTGCAGGGTCTCTGCCCTCGGACAAACTTCTCAGCCCCAAAGGGAAGGCCCAATGGAGCCAGTGGAAACAGATAAGCACCAATAATTAGTCACGGCCAGCAAGGTTGACAGGCTCATGGGCAGGAGTCTAAAGGCTTGAAGGGTCATGCTTACATGCTTGAGGAAGACACTAAGATCTGGGTGAGCCTGGGGGTTGATGGTAGCCTCAAACACTGGCAGGAAAATATTCTCCAGCATCTTTCCAAAGTGTGGCAGGAAATTCTTGGATCGGAATACATCACTGAAAGTAAGAAGGAAGAGAACTTAGGAGGAAAGGAATGTTAGGACTCAGTGTACAGGAGCCAGTGAACCAAATGCTGTGTACCAGAAAAAGACCTGGTGTATTCAGCCTACATCCACTCGCAAATCTTCTTTCTTCTTCTTTTTAAGACAATGTCTCCTTGTAGCCACAACTGACCTGGAAATCTGCCTGCCTCTCCTTACACCTGGCCCTTTCCTCTTTTTTTTTTGTCTTTTTAAGATAGGATCTCCCTGTAGCTCCAGCTTGCCTGGAACTCTTTAGGCAGACCAGGCTGGCCTCAAATAGAGATCTCCCTGCCTCTCCCTCCCAAGTACTGGGATTAAAAGCGTCACCACCACGCCCAGCTCCCTTCTTTTTTAAGACAGGGTCTCACTATGCAGCCTTGACTAACCTGGAACTTGCTATGCATACCAGGCTGACCTCAGACTCACAGAGATCCACCTCCCTCTGCCTTCTAAGCACTGGAACTAGAGGTGCGCACTATCACACCCAACTCAGATATTCCTGCTTATGTACAAAGAGGAGTCTGGGTTGGACTGGGCATAGGAAATATAAATTTCTTTCTGGACCACATGTCCCCAGCTCTTCTGCAAACTCTCCATGGTAAGAAAATGAAACACTCATAACTGAGTCTAGATATGAGGAATATAGCAATTATGTCATAGGAAGTGCAGTGATTATACGTGTGTGGTCACAGGATAGTAAGCAAGAAATAGTATCAAGAATACCTTCCTGGGACTGGGGCTGTAGCTTGCTGAGCATGCATGAAGTCCTGGGTGCAATCCCCAGCACTCCATAAACCAGAAGTGGTGGCACATGCCTGTGATTCAGTAATCTGGCACTCCAGAGGTAGAGGTAGAAAAATCAGAACTCCAAGGCCAACCTGGGCTATATAGACCCTGTCTCTGTCTCTTTCCCTATGTGTATCTGTCTCTTTCACCTGTGGTGACAACAAATTATAGCATTTTTATGTATGCCAGAAACTTTTCTAAGTAGTCAAAAGTATTAGCTAAATTAATCCTCATAACAGCTCAATACAGGGCCAGTAAGATGGCCCAGCAGGTAAAAGGTGCTTACCACTAAGCCTGACTTCTTGAATTCAATCCTCAGGACCCACATGGCAGAATGAGAGAACTAATTCCTGTGGATTGTACTCTGACTCCACCCCACCCATAAACACAAAAATAAATAAATGTAAAAATAAAACAAAACTCAATACATCACATGCCCTTTTTACCTATTTTGAGAGGTAGATGCTGAGGATCTGGACTTGGGTCTTCATGCTTGTGTGGCAAGCATTTTTCCAACTGAGACATCTCCCCAGTCCCAATAATTACTATTTTTTTTGTCTAAGACATAGGATAAAACCTTGCATTGCCATAGGGCACATAGGCAGGTTGCCAGAGAGTATGTAGGCTTGTAAGTTAGATGCAAGATCAACAATACTGAGCCAACAGAGACATCATCCCTGTAGGCTGGAAGACGCCACACATGGCATGAAAAGCTTCCTCAGCAAACTACTGAGAGATTCTGATTATAGTGAACTTGAGCTCTTGTGGTAAATAAGCTGACCATGGTAAAGGTTCTGACAGAAAAAAAAGCTGTAACTGGGGTCTGACATGGTAGCACAATCTGTAATCCCAACATGCAGGAAACTGTAGCAGGTGGATTATATATTCAAGCCTAGCCTGGGCTACATAGTGAGACCTTGTCTCAAAATCAAGAAGGGCTGGAGAGATGGCTTAGAGGTTAAGGGCACTGGCTGTGGACCCAGGCTCGGGTCTCAGCACCCACATGGCAGCTAAGAACCATCGATAACTTCAGGTCCAGGGTTTCTTGTGTCCTCTTCTGGCCTCTGTGGGTGTTGCATGACACAGGTGCACTTACATACATGTAGGCAAAACACTCTCATACACATAAAATAAAAATAAATAAAATAAAAACAAGAAAGCAATATTCCAGTACAGATAAATGTGACAAGAATGAACTGGACACAGAGAAGACCAATGTACAAGGTTCTTATCCTAGCTTAGTTCTTTTTCAGCTTTTGGTTAGAAACCTGAACTGAGCTAGGTGTAGAATGCATGACTATAATCCCAGCACTCAGGAGGCAGAGGCAGGAGGATCTGGAGTTTGAGTCTAGCCTGGGCTACATAGTGAGTTTTAGGCCAGCCTAGACTATAAAACAAGATCTTATCTAAATTTTTTATTTATTATTTTTATTTTATGTGCATGAGTATATTGCCTGCATGTACATAAGTCACTTGTATTCTGCAATGCCTGTGGAGGTCAAAAGAGGGCATTGGATTCCCTGGAACTGGAGTTATGGATAGTTGTTAGCCACTATGTGGGTGCTGAGACTCAAACCTGGGTCCTCTGCAAGAGCAGCCAGTGCTCTTAACTGCTGAGCCACTTCTTTAGTCCCCATAACAAGACCTTATCTCAAAACAATAATGAGAGGGGGGGTAGAGAGAGACAGACTGAAATGATCTTCTTAACTCCTATCTGGCCAAGTGTACAGCACCCAAAGTGAGCAAAGAGCAAAGAGGGGATTGGAATCAAGTACTGCTGCTTCAAGAAAGCTGACTTCTGTCTAGATGGACTGTAGCTTTCTGGTGTATGTGGGGAGGAGAGGCAGGTGAAAAGAGGGCAGGCTTCAGGGTCCCCCAGGGCAGCTACATACTAGATCCTGGGGACCTGGATCATCCATGTCATGTTGGGGCAGTAGATACGGTTGCAGACGAACCAAGAGGAGAGCTTGCTCCACTCATCTGGACTGCGGCCATAGATGGACAAGCGGGGTTCTGCATGCTGGTACTTGGCCTCCACCAGGTCTGCACCCACCTCCTGCGAAGTCAAGAGAAGGATCCAAAGCTAGGGATTCCTGTAAGTCTCCCCAGGGGTCTAGACTGATGGGATCTAGGGAGAGGGACATGGATCCTCAGAAGAAATGGGAAAGTAGGAGAAAGACTATCAAAGGTTAAGATTTAAGAGAGCTGAGAGCAGAGGAAATATCCAGTGGGGATAAAGACTCAGGATATGTCTGAGGCCAGAGGGAAGAATCAGATAAGGTATCTGCAAAAGAAACAGTTTATCATACCCAACTCCCTAAAGACACATTCCTGACTCACAACATATTCTTGCTTCCTACACAGCACCATGGTGATGTGGCATCCCATCCTAGCTCTGTCCAAACCTCAAAGGCCAAGTCCTTAATCTCAAAATCACACCTTAACTTCTCTACACTGGAAACAGAGGAGTTTCCCGAAAGATACCTCCTTCCCCTCCATCCCTCTTCTCTTCCTCCCTCCCTTTTTTCTCCCCCTCCCTCTCTCTCCCTCCCTCCTGTCCCTTCCTTCCTTCCTTTCCTCCTTCCCTCCTTCCCTCTTTCCTTCCTTTCTTCCTTCCTTCAGTCTTTCCTTCTCTCCTCCCCTACTCATAAACCATGCCAGGTAGTTTTTCCTCACCTTGATGATAGTGGCAAAATATTCCCCATTAATGTAGTTGTCTGTTTTCAGGTAGAGGTCCCGTAGCTCACTTGCACCCACAGGATTATATTTGTCGTTAAATTTATCAAAACGCTGAAAGGTCTGGCGTCCCTGAATTAGGAAATGGAATCAGAAGTTTTGATTTCCAGGACACAGGGTGCTGGGGCTGACCAGATGGAACAAGGGGCTAGTAGCAGGGGAGGAGGCTGGGTATGATGAGGTCTGGTGCCAGTGACAGTGAGTGAACCTCACAATCATCAGGGTGTTTTCAGACAGCATGGTAAGCTGATGTGGTTAACGGTGCTATGCTGAGGGAGTAATGGACTGGACATTCGGGGTTCTGTGTTACTGGAAAGAGTGAAACCAGTATCTTTTCAACCTACAGCATGAACGTCTAGAGAATCAACAGTGAGGTCATAGGGATGCATATTTAATTTAGCAAAAAGTTCCTTTAGGGTCAGGTTCTTCTCTTTGGTGCTGTAGACCACTCTGTCAGCATCGATCTGGTAAGATTTCTTAATGAAGCGCAGCAGATGCTTCTGATTCATGCAGGCAGCTGCATGGATGTGGGTGTCCACCTGCATCCATACCCAAAGAGAGAAAAACCAGCTATCAGTCCTCGTTATACTGTTGTTAGAGGCCCTGGTGCCTGCAAATTCCACTGAAATGGGAGGAAGGACTAATAATGATGTGAACTGACAGCTGATGGAGTTAGCCCAGTAGTAATGACTCATTTGTGTTCCCTGGAACTGGAGTTATGAACAGTTGTTAGCCACCATGGGCTACAGCAACACCATGGGTGTTGGGAATCAAACCCAGGTCCTCTGGAAGAACAGCCAATGCTCTTAACTGCTTAGCTACCTCTTCAGTCTCAAATAAATTATTTTATTATTTTATTTTATTGGTCTTTTTGAGACAGGGTCTCCCTGTAGCCCCAGCTGGCCTAGAACTCGCTATGTAGACCAGGATAGCCTTGAATTCACAGAGATCCACCTGTCTCTGCTCCCAAGTGCTGGGATTAAAGGCATGTGCCACTGTGCCTGGCCCTTCAAATCAATTTATTTTTGACAGACAATATTTGCCCAAGATTTGACAGGCAGCTGACCCAGGACTTGAGCTTGAGTCTTATTTTAATATTCCCTTTTCCTACTTCCTTGAAATCATTTACATGGTCAGAACACATTGAAAGTATTTCTAATCAACTGAGTTTCATAATTATTAGCTCATTTGATATTCATCGTCTTCACGTAAATTGTATCCAGTAGACATTCTCCAATTTTATAAATGAGGACACTTGAACTAAAAAACTATTTAATTATTTGCCCAAAGTCTTATAGTCAGGGAGCAGAAAAAAAAAACAGAAGGAAATCTCAACCCTAGAAGTGCAATTCTTTAAAAAAATTATTTATTTATTTATTTATTTATTTATTTATTATTTATCTTTTTGAGACAGGGTCTCCCTGTAGTCCCACTTGGCCTGGAACTCACCATGTAGACCAGGCCGACCTCAATCTCACAGAGCTCTGTCTGCCTCCACCTCCTAAGTGCTGGCTTATTTATTATTTTTAAATTTTATGAGTATGAGTGTACTGCCTGCATGTATGTAAGTGCACCTGTGTCATGCAGTGCCCACAGAAGAGGGAAAAGGGCATCGGATGACCTAGAACTGGAGTTACTGACAGTTGTTAGCTGTTGTGTGGGTTCTGGGATTCGAACCTGGGTCCTCTGCAAGAACAGCCAGTGCTCTTCATTACTGGGTCATCTCTCCAGCCTAAAGAGCAGTTCTTAAAGTTTTGTTTCTTGTTCTTGTTGCTGATGATGCTTACAATTTTACTTTTTCAGTACTGGGAACCAAACCCAGGGCCTTGTGCACTTCAGGTTGGATGATCACTCTACCTCTGAGCTTCCTCCCAGCCCCATAATTATTATTATTATTATTTTTTTTGTACCAGGAGTATGGTCATTTTTTCTCTGGGGCAAACAACAGGAATGACATTTTGGAGCTGGAGAGATGACTCAGCAGTTAAGAGCACTAGTTGCTCTTGCAGAGGATCCAGGTTTGGTACCCAGCACCCACATGGTGGCTAACAACTGTCTATAACTCGAGTCCCAGGGGATATCCCAGGGATAACACCCTCTTCTGGCTTCTTCAGGCATTGCACCACATAGATGCAATTACATACATGCAGGCAAAACACTCATACACACAGAATTAAATTAGGGCCAGGTATGGTGGCACATACCTTTAATTCCAGCACTTGTGGGAGCAGAGGCAGGTGGATCTCTGTGAGATTGAGGCCAGCCTGGTCTACATGGTGAGTTCCAGGCCTGCTGGGGTTATAAGGGAGACAGTTTCAAAAAGAAAAGTAAAGAAAAGAAAACAAAACAAAACAACACCAAAACAAAGCAAACAAAAATAGATTGGGGATGGTGGCACACACCTTTAATCCCAGCACTCAAGAGGCAGAGGCAGGCAGATCTCTATGACTTCAAGGCCAGTCTGGTCTACATATCCAGTTCTAGCCAACTGGGGCTATAGGGAAACCCTGTTTCAAAAAAACAAAAACATGGGGCTGGAGAGATAACTCAGTGGTTAAGAGTAGTGGCTGCTCTTGCAATTCCCAGCACCCACATAGCTGCTAACAACCATTCATAGCTACAGTTCCAGGGGACCTGACGCCCTCTTCTGGCTTTCCATGGGCACTTCACAACACAGGTGCACTTATATACATGCAGGCATAACACTCATACACAAAAAATTTTAAAAATAATAATTTTTTTGGTCTTTTTGAGACAGGGTCTCCCTGTAGCTCCACCTGTCCTGGAACTCACTATGTAGACCAGGCTGGCCTTGAACTCACAGAAATCTGCCTGCCTCTGCCTCCCAAGTGCTGGGATTAAAGGCATGTGCCACCATGCCTGGCTTAAAAAAAATAATGTTTTAAAAACTCAAAAAGAAATATTTTTAAAAGAAATGGCATTTTAATCTTTTAGATGTAATCTACCTGCTTTCCCTAAAAAATCACAAAACATTTTAAGTTCATCAGAAAACAGTGAGGAAATCACTGAATGCACTTTTCCCTGGAAAAGTGCCCTGAGTGGCTGTGGCGCTTACCTTCCTGCAATTATAAAAGTCTCGATGGGGGTTGTTCTTTAGCTCCTTCAGCTCATCCATCTCGTTCAGCATCTGATGAACCTGGAACTTGGAAGAGAGGAACTTCAGGCGCCGGTGGGTGTAAGTCTTGCTGTGAAAAATAAAATTGTATAATTCTAAAATATTTCCAGATACTTAAGGAAAATAATAACCATTCCAAAGTCACCAGGACTCTTACTACTCATAGGAGGCAACAATTACTGGAGCAAATGTTGCATATGCCTCCAACCATTACTCTCACTGAAAAGTTTTTCATCAAAATTGGACACAATAATGAGAGAGGACTTGGGAAGGATTTAAAAAAAATCTCTGGAGACTGTGTAGTTCAAAGTCAAGGGCTTAGCTTTGGAGTCAGTTGACTTTGGCTCCACCCTGGCTCAACCAGTTGTGTGACTTGGACTCAACTCACTCAACTTGCCTAAGTTCCAGCTTATAAAATTCTAGTTATAAAAGTATCTCAGGCTGAGGACGGAGTTCAGTTAGTAGAGTGCCTGCCTAGCATGCGTGAAGCCCGAGTTTGATCCACATCTATTACATAAGCTGGGTGTGGTGGCACATGCCTCCAATCCCCAAAACAGGGCTACACAAGGCTGAATCTTAGTTCTCCACTTGTCCACTGCAGGTGGCTCAGGTATGGTTGGCTACATCTGGATCGCTGATGGGCTGCCTCTAAGAAAGTCATTTGGCAGGAAATGCCAGGTACTTCATTTGAGGAATTAGGAATATCCCCAGAGGAATAAGGAGCCAGGCATGATAAGACTCATCAAGAGTCAATGCCCCTGTCATCAGAATGAGGTGGGGCTGTTGTGACTCAAGGGCACCTTGTGTTGAACTCTTAGCTGAAGATCCAGGTCCTATGGAAAAGACCAGGCTGATGGATATATTGAAAGTGCTATTTCCTCACCTTTGTAATATACTAGAGGTCAAACAGCTTGAGATTCCTCTCTGAGTGTGATGCAGAGGAGTAAAGAAATGACTCCCTATCCCTCTACGGACCCTGACACCCAGAAGGCTTTTGATGGTACAGCAGAAGAGCTCCAGAGTTCCCAAGAGAAGGAGCATTGTTCTAGTAGTGCCAGCCTACAGATGCGCCAGTAGCCAGCGAGGATCGCAGCACAATAACCGAGTACAGGAGGATGCATTGTTCTCATCAGAGTGCTGACAGTGCCTAGCAGGAGCTACTCTCTGCCAAGGAGCATTGAGGGGAGGCAGGGTCAACAGAACAACTCAGAGCAGCAGAACTCTTGACTTTGCCGTGGATATTTGGGGAATGAAGGGT